ATCCAGGGTTTTGTACTAAACTTTGCTTCTTTTTTGGATATTTCTTCCATAGGTGCATATGTATCAATCACTTTGGAAACCTTATCATAAATAGGATAAAAAATATCATTAGGATTGCCACAATCTAACAATGAATTATCCCAATTAATTGATTTTACCTCATTAAAAACTCAATTCCATCCGCTAATATTGATTTCCGACGTATATGATGGGAAGATTAAATATTAAAGAGCACCGCGAGTATTTGCAGTGGAAATACGAAAATACCACCAAAAAATTCCGCTTGATGGATACTATATATTCCGAAATATTTTTTCAAAATTTTGTTGTTTCTTGCTCAATTTCAAGCGAATTTCTTACCTTGAAATGATTAATGCGGTGAAATTTATGCAAATGACGCATTACCATTTTTGCTGTTGCATTTTGAATGTTCCGCCTGATTCAAATGCTTGTATCTTTGCTTCTTTTCAACGTATAATAAAGACAAATATATTAAAAGAGTCGCCATCTTTCATTCTATATCTCGGAGTAGTCTCGGAAAATTGCGAAATAATCTGTGCCTATTATGGCGATTCTCGTGCTTAGAAAGTGTTTGGCCAACTTCGGACGCCAAATTCTTGGTAAAGCATTTGAAATTCCTGGTAAAAGACTGCAGAAATCACTTCCGGAGTGGGTTTTTTTTTACCTTAGATACGGATTTTGATTGACTTAGCCAGAAAAACAAACCTTTTAGAGCAATTTTCCTGATTATCGCGCACGGCGCACGAACGTTGTAATGTATAATTGTGTTGTAATTGTATTATTTGAATCGCATCCTCAAGACGTTCTTGGCTTTATTTTGCAAACTGATAGTGCTAGTAAAGACGGAATGTCTTCGTACAAAGACAAGTATCTCAACCTGGCATTGGGAGTTGTGTCTGGAGTTTGAAGGCAAGTATTTTGATCATTTTTAGACATTTCATTTCAATGTTTTGCCGTTGCCATGGCGTTGTAAATTTATTTGCATTTGGTATAGCTTACTAGTACGACCAATTACGCCCTCATATCGCATTTTTTGTGTTGAAATAATCCTTCCATACTGAAATTGGCAAATATGAATGGTATTTATTTATATTGTTCATGAAAATTTATGGTATTTAGGCATAAAAAACTCTGATTCCTAGGCAAAGTAAAATGAGCCTTGAGCACATGTTCGGTTGTTTGTTACATACATATATAATAGACCAAGTATTCATACTTATGTCTTACTAGTTTGGCTGTTATTATAATTTCAAGTGACGCCATGTAAATCATGTCTATAAAAAATGTTTTTATTTGCAGTGACGAAGATATTGATCCTGTTCCTAGCTGCTATTCCTGTTTCAATCTTTCATATATATAGCCTCAGGGAAGTAGCACTTGTGATGAGTCATGAGAACCCACTCCCCAACCCCCATTAGGAAAACGTGTAGGTGTAGAGGGAAGGTAGGGGGATGAGTAGGAGATAGAGGGAAGCCCAGCCACTAGGACCCAAGGTTTTGAAAGCTCGCTGTCTAGCACCTCCACTAGGCCCCATAGTACATGACGGATATGGTGATCCTGACCAGTGGCGCAACTACTAGGGGCCCAACCTGGTCGAAACCAGGGGCTCTGAAGAAGGAACTTCTTAGAGGGCCCTTGGCTAATATCAAATAACACAAACATTGTATTATAACTTTTATTGTATTTTAACTTAACTAGCTTTTCACGACCAGATGGTCATCAAAAAAAGATTATATAGACTATATACGAGCGGTAAAGACAGATTACCCGAAATCAGGACTGAAAGTCCTGAAGCAATATAGTAAAGGAAGTGAACGCAAAGAGAAATCTTAGGCTATAATGATAAGCACTCTAAAATTTCTTCTTTCACTTATCATCTGGGAAAATATTGTTACTGCGCTTAATCTTGCATCTAAACATATGCAAGCATTTGATATGGATCCAGGCAAATCGAGAAAAGCACTAAATTTAATTTAGATAAAGAAATAAGAATGGAAAAAGATTTTTTAAAAATCCACTATCCTTGCTCTTAAGTCTGGAATTCCTGTTTCATTTGTTGAAAAAAGAACAAGAAGGGTTCCCAGATTCTTTGACGAAGGGGCCACAGACGAGCTTATCATTAACGCAAAAACAAAATTCCGTGTGGAACTGTTCTTTCCAACAATGGAAAGCTACTAGAAGAACGTTTCAAAGGCCAGCAGTAGAAGATGGCAATAAAATAAGAAGTGCAGCTCGCGTATATATATATATATATATATATATATATACATATATATATATATATATATATATATATATATATATATATATATATATATATATATATATATATATATATATATATATATATATATAGTTTTTGTTTTAGCTCAAAAAACCACAACAGTCTGTTTCATTCGTATAGGACTCATCAGGTGGTGAATAATTTCGAAATTGTAGGTTGCTTTTATGCTATCGAAAGAATGTGCGGAATGCGTGTAGGCGAAACAATGCTTAGGTGAAACAATGCATGCTTTGGTCATTAGGTTTTGTTAACGACCTTGTTTACTCGAAACCGGTTTTTGTGACGACATTTGCCGAAAATTTCGCTTCTTTTATTGAGTAAATTGTCTTTGTTTTTGTCTTTCAGGATGCAAAATTTTTCTTCCAAACATAAATTGCAGCGTTTTGATCCCCCTGTGTACGAAATAGCGTGTTTTAAAATTGACCATTTGATGGTATAATCCTGATTGTTTTCTTTTAATTTCCAAATATGTTTCGAAAGTTCCATTTTGTTTGAGTCTTTTTTATGACGAAAAGATGAAGTGTGGTTAGCGTAACGTTCCTTAAATGTAGTCGCTGTCATACCAATGTAGTGTTTGGTGTCGTTCGTGTTGTTCGTTGTGACTGTTGCTTTGTAAATAATGTTGTTGGTCATGCATTGTTTCGGTAGTGGGCAAGTGTTTTTGTTGTCGCAGTTACAGTTGTCAGTTTCCGTATTCTGTGATTGACTGTTCCTAATTATATGTGCGTTGTGTTTGGTGATTATAGACTTAACGTTGTTCATGCAACTGTAGCTTACTTTTAAAGTGTTTCTGTTAAAAATCTTGTGTAGTTTGTGCTGTAGTGGGAAGTGTTTGTCAATTAAACTTAAGAATTCCCGTCCTATGTTCGTGTTAACGCTCTTACTAAATGGTGGATTGAACCAAATTATGTTGCGTTGCCTATTCCTACGTGTCCGTTGCGGTGCATCCTGAGTGTACGTAAATTCATGATCAAAGTTACTATGTGTAAGAGCGTTCTGGTAAATAGGTGTGGATTCCTTAAATGTTTGTTCGTCCGATGAGAGAAGTGCAATGCATTTGTTGATAGCTGTAGGTAATTGTCTTGTAATGCTTGGTGGATGGTTTGAGTGTCTGTGGATGTACAATGGATCGTCATTGGGTTTCCTGTATGGTTTGTGTTTTGCGTTGATCAGGTCGAAAGTAACATCTAAAAAATTTACAACGTTCATATTTACTTCGGCGGTGATTTTAAGGTCAAATTGCTCGAAAATTTTGTGTAGCTCTTTTCTAGTTTTGTCTAGTAAACGGGCGGATTAATTTTGCTTTTTATAATAGCCAAACCATCATCTCTATAAAGTCCGATGTTTTCCTTGCCAAACCTCTTACCTAAGTGATATATATATATATATATATATATATATATATATATATATATATATATATATATATATATATATATATATATTTCATACCCTGTGAATTCATTTAGATTGGTCTGAAGTATGCTCACCCAAAAACTTTGGTTTTCAAACTTCCTTTCAACGTTAAACTCATTTACTCAATACACGTCCTAGCGCCCTTCTTTTGGGGCAATAGGCCATTTTTTTTCTTCAGTGGTGGGGCAGAAGAAGGAGCCCAGTGGGAAAAATGCCCCACCAGTCCATGGTATTAAAAAATGCCTTGACTGGGGATTTGGAAGCCAAGTTTAAAACACTAACGAGGATTTGAAATTGCTTCTCACACATCATTAGACTTTCATAGCAATGAGGCATGAAATTATTAGATATTCAAAAGTGAATATTTGAAGTGTAACGAAGCATTCAGTTCGCTTTCGTCGTGAATAGATGAATTTTGTTGGCAAAAGAGCATGGCATCTTCTTATAATATAAGAAAGCGGTTTCGAGAACCAGAAAGTGTTGAGCACAGTAATCAAAATCTAAGGAAAGCCACTCGCTGAAAAGGTTGTGAGGTCAGATTGTGTGTGTGGGATAAGGCGCTAGAGCCGAAGTGAATATATATTAGTGGTAAGTTGAACATTACTGGTAAGTTGCTGTATTATTGCTGTAGTGTTTAAAGCGCTGTTTATTATGATAGTTTGTAAAAAAATGTAATTTTCCTTTTCCTATCTTTATGTATTTTTCAAACGTTCAGAAAAAGTGTTAGATGTAAAGTGCAGTTAGAAAAAAATTCTAAATACAGCTTACTGTATTTAGAAATAATTCTAAACATAGCAATTAAATATATTTGCATAATCTTTTGTTTACCCCTCAATTTCCCTATTGTTCAAATCCCTTCTCACTTGAAGTAATTAAAGTCCTGATCTAGACGGGGTATCCAAATAGATACACATGATGTAAATTACACCATGTCATTGGCCGAAATGCTATGAATATCTAATGATGTGTGAGAAGGCCAAATAAATGCAACTGTATTCGATTTGGAGCAATATATTGATACACGTCATTCAAGTTTTGATTTAAGAAATAGAAAACACTTTCTGTGTTTCTATGCAGATATAGAAACACGCGTGGGAGTTAGAGTCAACCAGAAATAGTCCGTGGGAAAACGCACCAGAGGTGCGAGTCTTTCCACATTATTGGTTATGATTATGTTGAGCGGTAATGAATTGTTTTTCAGGTTGCTTCAATCAAGCGATGTCCTGAGTAATGAAGTAGTTAAAAAACAACCGGCGTTATTATTTACGAATATGAAAATATGTCGGGAATTTTGGCCGCAGCTAGAAGAGGACATTTTCAGAAAGTAGGAAGGTTGATTGAAAGTGGTGCTGACGTTAACAAAAAGGATCTGTACGACAAGACAGTTCTTCAATTCGCTGCTGAGTCCGGATCACTGGAAACGGTCAGATATTTAGTTGAACATGGTGCGAATGTAAATTCTAAAAACAGGTGGAATGAATCTGTTCTGAACTTCGCTGTTGAATTTGGTTCTTTCGAAATTGTTAAATACTTAATTGAAAGCGGTGCGAATGTCGGTTCTAAAAACGATAAAAATGAAAGTGCTCTTCACCTTGCTGTTCAATCTGGTTCCCTTGAAATTATCAAACATTTAGTTCAACAAGGCGCGGACGTAAATTGTAAAAATGTGTGGAATAAAACAGTTCTTGACTATGCTGTGATAACTCGTTCGTTAGAAATTATCGAGTATTTAATTCAACATGGTGCTGAGGTGACACATGGAGATAATCATGGCGAGAATACAGTTCTATTTGCCGTTGAATCTGGTTCTTTAGAAATTCTCATTTATTCAATTGAGGATGGTGCGAATGTGAATTCTCGAAACGATTGGAATGAAAGTGCTCTTCACCTTGCCGTTCAAGCCGGTTCCCTTCAAATGGTCAAATATTTAGTTGAACAAGATGCTGAGGTAAATTGTAAAAATGTGTCAAATGAAACAGTTCTTGACTATGCTACGATAACGCATTCGCTAGAAATTGTCGAGTATTTAGTTCAACTTGATGCTGAGGTAACAAATGAAGATAATCTTGGGGAGTATACAGTTCTATTTGCAGCTGCATCTGGTTCTTTAGAAATTCTCAAGTATTCAGTTGAGCATGGTGCGAATGTGAATTCTCGAAACGAAAGAAATGAAAGTGCTCTTCACCTTGCTGTTAAAGCTCGTTCCTTGGAAATTGTCAAATACTTAGTTGAACACGATACTGAGGTAAATTGTAAAAATGTGCTGAACGAGACTGCTCTTCACTATGGTGCCATCATTGGGTCATTGGAAATTGTCGAGTATTTAGTAGCACACGGTGCTGAGGTAAGAAGTGAAGATCATTGTGGCGACCACACAGTTTTATTTCTGGCTTGTAAACAGGGGAATGGCTTAATGGTTGACTATCTTCTCCAACATGGAGCTGTACACGACATACAGAAGTGCGATGTTAGATTGCGTTCTCCTCTAAGAGTAGCATGCGAGAATGGCCACACAGGAGTAGTTAAAATACTACTGAAGTTCAAAGTCGACTTACGAATAGAGAAAAAATTGTTTTTTGACAATGATGAAATCATGGATATTCTTAAGCTGGAATTAGAATCCATTAAACTTCGGGAGAGTATACAGATTTTTAGCGCAACAGATGATGCAAAGGTAATGGATTATCACCATTTTGAAATTGTATTATCGCCCTGGGCGAGGGTACCAATTCCGCACGGCTATTTACACTCGGGAAAAGGAATGCTGCTAGCGGTTTCGGTGGGGGTAGTGGGCCCCTCATCTCACTGATCTCAAAATACGGCGGACTGCCAGGAGCGGAATGAGCCAACTGCTAAAATGTCAGTTGAAAAAGAATGAAAATATATGGAAAAGTCGTTTCATACAATGAGCTGTAAAACGAGGTCTTAAATTTTACTTCAAAGAAATGATAAGAAGAGATATATGATGGAAAATGATGAAATATAAAGCAAGTTTGTATGTTGTTTTCGTTCAACATCTACGTTGTTTTTGGTCTTCCACTTCCCTCCTAAATTGCCCTATTTTATATTAAAAAGGCCTATAGAATTTTAAAAACTCAGTTATTTCCAAGAGCGAACTGTATGATTGGACTAATTTCGTGGCAACTAATAAAAAGACTATGTTTTAAATAGTTAATCGGCAAAAACTAAATGAATTTCCAAATTAAATGAGCATTTCTCGAAGGGTTCAAGGTTGAATATTACCTTAAATTCAAGCTTATAGAGTGAAAAATAACACACCTAATTATATATTTTAGAAATTGATAGTTCAATTTAGGTTAATCTGCAGGTTAAGTTAATATGCATTAATAAATTTTGCCGTTTTGCACGAAAAATTAAAAACAATGATCGTTCATTCGTATTGCCATTGCTAACATGACGCGACCCTGCGTTCATTGGTGGCGTAATTTAGAACACTTCATGTTAAAAATCGTTTAGAAAATGATGGCGAGAGATTTCTGCATGTATGTATTTCTAACTAGTTTGAATAGTAATATTTATAGGTTATTTTGAGGCTACGAGGGGATATGTGATTTAGTCACCGAGGCGCGCAGCCCCAAGGTGAATAAACACATATCCCCGAGGTGCCTCAAAATAACTTAATTATTTTTCACATTGAGAGGTCGCGTTAATGAGTCAGAATAGAAATAATTCTTAATGCCATATTTCCTTCGTTATGTTGTTTTTCTCATTTTTTTGTGCTGCAAAGACATAACAGGTGAATATTAGAGGGGATTATTAAACGGAAATAGATTAGAGGGGAATATTGAGCATATTCCCCGATAAGAACAAAGGAAACGAGCAAGGCGAAAAATAAGTGTAGTAGTATAGGTACCGATCGACCCGGATTTTTGAGGAGGAGTGAAGAGGAGTGAGCAGAAGCGAGTAGGAGTGAGGAGGAGCGAGGAGGAGTGAGGAGGAGTGAGGAGGAGTGAGGAGGAGTGAGGAGGAGTGAGGAGGAGTGAGAAGGACTGAGGAGGAGTGAGGAGGAGTGAGGAGGAGCGAGGAGGAATGAAGAGGAGTGAGGTGGAGTTAGGAGGAGTGAGGAAGAGTGAGGTGGAGTGAGGGGGAGGGAGGAGGAGTTAGGAGGTGTGAGGAAGAGTGAGGTGGAGTGAGGAGGAGTTAGGAGGCGTGAGGAGGATTACAGCGAGGAATCTATTTGTCACAAAAATCGAGACATATTTTAAAAATAACTAAACAGTTGCTAATCCCAGGTTAACTTGGTTGTCGACGTCGTTGTAATGGTAAATATTTGCATGTTGTTCGACATTATTTAGCAAACTTTTTACATACACATATACTGTTAAGATGACAGAGTCAGATCATAAGAAAAATTATCAAGAATACTTGTAGGAAAAAAATACTTTTAGATCAGTTGTGATACATTTTGCCATAAGAAATAAATATGTTTTTATCAAATATGCGTTCGTTATATACGTTTCTATGTGTCGCCAGTCATTAGCGACGCTTGGGTGCATGCATATACCGCATGGACAAATCGCGCTGGCGGACGGGAAAAATTGAGCTTTGCAAACAAAAGTTTGCACAAGATTTCAGTTTTAAAATACATTTATTTCTTTAAGTACTACAAAGCTATTGATTCTTGTCTGTAGAAATTTAATATTATCCACTTAAGAGTTCTGTCCCGTTTTTGTTTCTAACTTTAACCACTCCATTGAGCCATCATTCGTTTCTGTATTACCCACGTTCTTTGCAGATTTTGTATTTGAATTTGTTCTCTTCCTGGAGGATTTTGGTTGACGGATAGATATATTCTTTATCCCGCTTTTATTTTATTTTTTGACTGCTTTTTACTGTTCCCAATTAATCTGTACAACTCTGTTAAAACATTTTCTAAGTCTAAAGCTGTTGGCATGGGACGAATAAGATAAGGTTGCCTCTCTTTGGACGAAAGTTCATGGACGTCTGCCAAATAGTTTGCCAAACTTTTAAAGCTACAATCCTGGACAAAACACTGCAACACTTCGAATTACTTGTCAAAATGTCGTAATATTATCGTAAATTTAGAAAACCTCCCCCTTTCCCCCCACCATTCAATGTTGATTGCATTCGTAGAATACGAATAAAACGTCCAACATTGTTTTTTTGGGGCGGGGCGGATGAGGGCAAACGAGTAAATTATTCCGGTCTAAAAGGTAAAAAGAAGCCACAAAGGAATGTTTTAATAGAGTGTCGCAGATGGTTTTGTCCAGGATTGTAGCTTGCCGCAGATGGGACAATCTTTACACTTCCCAGGCGTAATGTCAAATGATAAATGTCAACTGATTTCCTAACATTAAATGGTTGTAGCCCCAAAGGCCTTTTTGAAGGTTTGTCGGGACTTGGGGATTGGGTTAGGCAAATGGGTTAGGGGATAATAGCTACCACACAGGATCGTATTTTATTTTTGTAAATCAAACACAAACAACCATTTTAATAATGGCAACTCAGACGCAGTGCTCTGACTATTGAGTTACGGAGTCTAGTACCTACTATGCTAGTGCCAACAGTTCTTGTATCAGTGAGTAGCGCAAAGTTGAGCCACAAGTCAAGTTGAGATCTAGTTACATGTCAAGTTATTGCAGTGCATTATCAAGTTGGATCTTGTCGATAGCTACACCCAGGTTGAGTCAAGTCCATGGTTCCACTCAAGTCGAATCAATAGCAGAACTTGAATTAAGTCAAGGAATTTGACAGTACTCTCTATAGTAACAGAATGGTTCCAAGCTTACACTCTGTGAAAATATTAATCAATCAAATTAGCAACAAAATCTAAGCAGCTGGCTGGTACCAATTCTGCCTTTCTACTCAATTAGCATAAGTTGCAACTGGTACCAGAAATCAAATGATCAATTGGTATCCTGGCGAATTATTTTTCCATTTTAAGTTTTTAGACCGAACACGCTCTTTCCTATGGGTAAAATCATGTCGCGTTAGACAGAGTAATTATAAGTTATCAGTATTTTGAAATAATATGATGTGCTACCCTCTTTAAGAACAAGTTGCTTACTTATTTGATTTAACCTGAACAAGTTATAGCTTGAATTGAGACGAGTTCTTAATGCCGTACATTACGCGGAGTTAACATTCAAGCGGAGTTATTTGGAGGTGGTCAGTTGAGCCGTTTGTCATACTGGACTTGAATTGATCGAGTCGCTATATAAAAAAGCAGTGACTGGACAATGACTCGACTCATTACAAAACATAGTCATGTTTATGTGTAAATATTAGATTTTGGACTCTGTAGCTGCAGTGGTCAGAGTACTGCACTGAAATATATGACTACATGACTACTATGACTACATTCCAAATGGGTATTTGGGCGTACCCCAATAAGGATGGTTGAGAGGTACCCCAATGGGGGTGTTTAGAGGTACCTAATGGGGGTGTTTTGGGGTACGTGAATGGAATATTTGATGGTACCCCAATGGGGTTTCTATGACTATGTGACAATGACTACATGACTATGACTGTATGACTATGGCTACATGACAATGACTGTAACTATATGACAATGACTATATGACTAATTTCTTCCCCCCTCTTCTCCGATCCTTTTCACCTGCTTTTCCCCTTATCTCATCCACTTCCACCACTTCTCCTCCTCTTCTTCTTCTCCTTTTCCTCTTTTCCGCCTCTTGTCCTCCTTATCCACCTCTTTTCGTACTCCTCTCTTGATCGTCCTCTTCTTCCCCCTTTCTCCGCCTCCTCCGCACTCCTCCTTTCGTTTTCCTCGTCCTTCTCCCTCCTTTCCTCTTTGTTCCCTCCTTCTGCTCATCCTCCTCTATTCTCCTCTTCGCCTCTTCGTCTTCACACCCGCACCCAAAACATCCCATTGGGGTACCCCAAGATACCCCATTGGGGTACACCTATCCCCCGAAACATGCTATTAATTGCGCTTTCCTCAACCACTCCCATTGGGGTACCCCCGAAACTCCATTGCGGCATGTAGTCATAGTTCTGTAATCATATAGTCATACAGTCATACAGTCATATAGTCGTGATAATATTTAGCAAGTATTCACCGAAGTGATGTTCAACAGTACAAGAATATTCACCGATATTTACTGAGGTGAATAGTTGTTTTCGCATATACGATAACAAAACAAAAATGACGAAAAAACAACGAAATATTTTTTATACAATTTGTATTTCCGCTCTGAGCTCCCGTAATAGTTGAAAACAAAACAGCTTTTACACGGTGTTAGCAATATTACTCATTAGAAAAAGTTTTAAGAATACATGTAGACACTGTTTAACAAAACCTTGTTGCTTCCTTCCTGTTTGACAAAACCGCAGCTTTGTTTTCTACAAAACGTTACGTGTCTGTAACCGGAACGTAGCGGGAAGCCATTGTGTTTTTGTCAGGAACCAAATAGTGCAAGAATATCCGGAGCTGAGAAATCATTCATATTTTGTGAAAAGCACTATCTACCGGGTGTCCCAATTAAAACTGGACACTGTTTGATTATCATGTAACGAAAAAGCTATAATAGCTATCACAATGAAATAAAGATTATTGCATTCAGAAAGAACTAACTTAGATTTTCATATATAACACTTGAATTTTACATATCATCTTAGGCCTAACCTATGAAAATACAACTTTGGGCTCTCTAGCAGGAATATAGATCCGAAATAGTAGACTATTCTTTATCGTGTCTCTGACATTTGAGGTGATAGTTTCAAGATCAACAAACATACTATTGGAAATACTCTTGTTATCGTCATGATTTTATTTCTTTTGATAAAAGACAAGGCCAGCTGGGCCTAGTCTGCCAAGTGGGGATTTGTAAATGGCGATCGATGCGTTCATTTAACACAAGGTTGACCACATGACTATGGTTATGACTACATTCATGTTAGGAGACACCCCAATGTGGGTGGTTGAGGAGATCCCAATGGAGTCTTTATTGGGGGGAGGGCATATGCCCATTGTGGTGTTTGAGGATATTCTAATGGGGTATTTGGGTTTGGTGCACGGGATTGAAGAGTAGAAGAAGAATAGAAAGACGAAGAGGAGAAGGAGAAGAAGTGGAGGAAGAGGATTTTAAAGTCATTTATTTTTTAGACAATTTTTCATAACTTTTGAATAAACAAATTTAATTATATTCTTGCAAATCTACTGTTTTATTGGGAAAAAACCCAGAAAATTTGTTCTTGCTCATTTTCATAATTTTTAAAACAATTTTTCGCAACCGCCCGCAAGTTACTGATCAGCGGCAACAACATTCCCGCCTGTTCTTCGCTAATGCTTTCCTTTTCCCGGGTGTAAATAGCCGATCGGAATTAGTACACTCGCCCGCAAATGGCACTTCTCGCCGTTGGCTTGGATATAATCATAATCATAATCATATTGTATTAAGTAATTAGAATTTTCAGATTTTTTCTTAATGTGCGCCAGTTAAACACTGCTGAAAAAGAAATTCAGATAATTGAATTCGTCAGATTATTTCTGTTTGTATTTTTTCTGTACACAAGATCTTTGCACTTTTAATATTAACCTTCTGTATATTTCTAGGGACCAAACTTTGTGGCTTTGTATAGTTTTGAAGGACAAGACAGTAACGATCTCAGTTTTGAAGAGGTGTGTGCTATGCATTCATTACACTGTGTATATGAATGTATAATATTAATTGTGTATGATATATTTAAGTATAGGTAATAGGATAGTTTCGATTGCTATGGACCTTTCACTTTATAGCAAATTGGGCCTCAAAGCATGATGGTAGTTGGGTATATTTTATTCTTGTTGTAATGGCGGCCATGAGGCGACCATTCTACGGAGTGGCAGAATCATAGATATAGGAGATCTAGATTGCTAACGCATACCTAGCGCAGGCGGGGCCTACATGATAAATCCAAGATGGCGGTAAAACAGGGCAACAAGACTATAGATTATATTACGAAAATCAGGATTTTTGCATTTTTTTGCCGTCGCATTGTTTCGAAACTTATTCGGTCAAATTTTATAGTAAAGAGAAACTTACCGCGAAGATTTTGAGCATATATATGATTGAATTGGATGAAAACTCGCAAAATTATCCAGCGATAAAAGTTCGTGTGAAATGGTCAGTTGGAGCGTTTTATTGCCAGAAATACTGTGATATGTTAACATCTAGCCTTGTGAATGGTGTTTTATACTTGCATCTCTCATCATCATCTGCTCTGTCCTCATAATTATGAAAAATGAACTGTTATGTACCCCCCCCCCCTTGCTTGTTAGAGAAGTAAACTGATGAGAGCACTGGATGAGGGTCTATCATCTATGGTCTGATATATTTTGCTTTTTATGCAAATAGTGAGCAAAAATTAAAGCAAAACTGTACAAGTTACTTATATAGTACTATATCAGTACTATACACGAACTTTTATCGCTACATAATTTTGCGAGTTTTCATCCAATTCAATCACATATATGCTCACAATCTTCGCGGTAAGTTTCTCTTTACTATAAAATTTGACCGAATAAGTTTCGAAACAATGCGACGGCAAAAAAAATGCAAAAATCCTGATTTTCGTAATAGAATCTATAGTCTTGTTGCCCTGTTGTACCGCCATCTTGGATTTATCATGTAGGCCCCGCCTGCGCTAGGCATGCGTTAGCAATCTAGATCTCCTATATCTATGGGCAGAATTCACTAATTTTCACTTGTTTACCTATTGCAAATCGTAGTTTGAACAACGTAATTTCGACGTCAAATGCCTAGCACTGATATTTCACAAGAAAATGACCATGCAATACTCATAGTTAATCGTCAATTTGTGGTTTGCAACTTCATATAAACAGCCGTGGACCTACATTACATTTTTCCCTAAATCTTTTTGATAGAAACGTAATTTGTACTTATTTAAGTATTTTATCACTATCTTGGTGTAAATAGCTAATATTTTGTGACCGAAATAATAATTTGAGATGTGCCTACCTCCTGGAAATGGACGTATTTGGCCTAATTCTCCAATTTACTCCGCTGTTTATCGCCGATCTCGTTGAAATCCTTCCAAATGTGCAATTCAGCTCAAACATAATGGTATCAAGCAAGTCTTAACTGGGTTTCAAGTAGCCTACGATGTAGGCCCCAGCAGAAACACGTTTCGCGAGGGGTCTACGAATAAACGAAGTAAAGCTTGCCCGGGCTACGTCATATCCGATTTACGTTTTGGGTAAATTAACTTTAATTTATTCAAGACGACCTTTTCCTCTCCGTTTTACCTGCAAATAGCATTTGTAAAGCCTGTCTGGCGTTGGTAAACAAACGGAGAATCTTCAAAGACCGGTTATGTGAGTTAGACAATACTTTAGATTTAGATTAGATTAATAGTTTTATTTACCCACAAATAATATTTACAAGTTGAATATTTAAGATAGAATATAAACGGACTAGAGACCTCTGGAAATCCTGTTGGACTTTTGAGATGAGGCCTCTATAGTTTTAGTGTTGAGTAATATAAAAATAGATTATGTACATAAGGACAATTTGCAATGAAACACACAAACTATTTACAAACAAATATGGAAAATGTTTAAGGAATATTTAGTACATTACAGAATACTGTCATTAATATTCCTGAAATATTTACATCAACTAGACATCAAGTGATAGGATTTTGCAGTTTTCTTAAAAGAAAAATTGGATTTAATATTTTTAATATATTTCTTCATTAAGGCAATTCCATATAGAAACTCCTTTGTTAAATATAGTGTATTTGCGATAGTTTGTTCTCTTATAGCTCACATGTAACTTGGTAGAATTTCGCGTATTATAGTTGTGTAGTTCAATCGTTATTTTGTTTGAAGTAATCATTATAGAAGTCCGGCAAATTTTGACAATATTTGAAGCGATACATGAATAAGCTGCATAGATCGATAATCATTAATTTTATAGATATCCAAGATTTTCAATTGTAAAAATATTGGTTCAGAATGATCCATATAAGATTTAAAACAGATTAGTCGTACAATTTTCTTTTGGACAAAATACAAACCAATAGATACTCCGAAAATTGAAAGCATTTTGAAAAATTTATTTCGACGTTTCGACTAAACTATAGTCATCATCAGGAAATGAATAATGATGATATTACATATGTACAAGTATATATAGTGAAGTAAGAAGATATGATTAGTTAAATATTAATAGATCTATAGAGGCTTTAGTTCCATGGTTTAGAGACGGTTTCATTGTATTAATAGCAATAGACTTTTGATAAAGTGTCAACGACCAGTGATTGGATTTATCTATCATCTTAGTGTTAGTAAATATTAAATCTGTTACTGAACATTTAATGTTATTCTGTTATTAACTTCGTCATTAGGTGTTAGTTCGAGTAGGTTTTTTACAAAATCGAATTCATTACAGTTAGTAATATGGTAACTGTAATGAATTCTGTACCATATTACTAACTGTAATGAATTCGATTTTGTAAAAACCTACTCGAACTAACACCTAATGAAGAAGTTAATAACAGTTAATAACATTAAATGTTCAGTAACAGATTTAATATATTTACTAACACTAAGAGATAAATCCAATCACTGGTCGTTGATACTGTATCAAGAGTCTATTGCTATTAATACAATGAAACCGTCCCTAAACCATGGAACTAAAGCCTCAAAAGATCTATAAATATTTAACTAATCGTATCTTGTTACTTCACTATATATACTTGTACATATGTAATATCATCATCATTTATTTCCTGATGACGACTATAGTTTAGTCGAAACGTCGAAATAAATTTTTCAAAATGCTTTCAATTTTCGGAGTATCTATTGTTTTCTATTTTATCAAAATACTCAGTGGTTCCCGTAATTTCTTTTGCACATTTAGTAACTTTTGTAACCTTGTTGGGTATGTACTTCCCCAAACTAGATTTCCGTACGTGAGGTATGGATATAGACCAATGCATAATAAATCAATTTCGAAGTGTTTTTGTTCGTAAAATATCTTAGTTTAGCAATCAGACCAGCAGATTTAATTCTGTTTTTCAGAACGGAGCTGATGTGGTTCTTCCATGTCAACTCTTGATCAATTAATACACCTAGGAATTTTACACAAGGTACTTGTTCAACTATATCATTATTTATTTTTACTATGATCTCTTGATGCTGTGACTTATTTTTTTATTTAAAAATGACAAATTTTGTTTTGGATGCATTAATTGACAATTTATTGGAGTTAAGCCATTGCACTACTTCATTCATTTCATTTTGTATAGTACTAGCTAAAGTTTTTAGGCACGAATGTGAATAAAAGGCATTTGTATCATCGGCATATAGGACAAAAGAAAGAATTTTACTGCTGTTTTCAATGTCATTAATATATATTCGAAGTAGTAGTGGTCCTAAAATCGAACCCTGTGGGACGCCAGTTCTAACACTCATTTCAGTTGACCTATGTTGTTTATATTTGACCATTTGAGTGCTTTCCTGTAAATAATTTATAAACCATTGTAGACCTATTCCTCTAATTCCATAGTGTTGAAGTTTTTTATGAGAATTTCGTGATTGATACTGTCGAAGGCTTTAGAGAGATCAAGGAAAATATCTACAGTATATTTAACTTCATCTATTGCTTTGGATATCTTGTCGGTTAGTTCAAAAGCGGCATGGCTCAATTGATCTATTTTTTCTAAAACCAAATTGATGTTCTGAAAGTATACGATGTTTTTCAACATAGTTAATTAGTCGCTTGTGCATACGTTTTTCAAGTAGTTTTGAAAAACAAGTTAATACCGATATAGGTCGATAGCTTTCTAATAGATTATTTTCCTTTGCTTTGAAATTAGGAGTAACCAAAGCTATTTTCAAAAAATTTGGTGCTTTTCCAGTTTCAAATAATAGATTATAAATATATGTTAGAGGTTTAATTATTTCTTCACTGATGATCTTTATCATTTTCGCGCTTATGTCATCATGTCCTGCACTTAAGTTATCAATCTTATTTTGCAGCTCATATTCAGTCACAGGTTCTATAAACATACTTTTAACATAGTTACCATTAAGGTAGCTTTTATATGTTATGTTATCATTTTTTGGATTTTTTTTGGCTAGTTGTGGACCAATTTTCACAAAATATTCGTTAAATTTGTTAGCAATTTCCAGAGGATTTGAAACATTATTATTAAAATTGTTCTGTAAAAAAGTATCAGGTAGTTTTGATCTGGTTTTATTTCTGTTAAGAACTTCGTTAATAGTTTCTCACGTCTTTTTAATATCATTTTTATGCTTAAGAAATTGTGTTTCAGTTTGTTTTTGAACTTCTTACAGTCTGTCTCATTTCTATAAGATGGCTATTTTAGAAAATTTTTATAAAGTTTATTTTTCTTGGATATAATTTTAAATATACCAATTGTCATCCAGGGACTTTTTTGTGTGATCCACAGCTTTCTTTTTTATTTTTGCTAAAGGAAAACATTTATCAATTGCCATCTTCAAATTATTGTGAAAATTCGTATAGGATTCACAAGGGTCATTGGTATCGAAAGTACTTTCCCACGATATATTTTTCACAGATAATAAAAACGAAGCAAGATTATCTTTGTCGACCATTCTTCTATAATGTGCATTTCCTCTTTTTGTATTATTTTTATTTGTGGATGAAGAAGCTATATGAAATATGGGGAGATGATCTGAAATATCTGAGAAAATTAGTCCATTTGCACCAGATTCTATTTGTTCAAGATTGTTTGTAAAGATATTATCAATTAACGTGGCTGTATGCTGCGTAAATCTAGTTGATCTATTTATCAGCTGATAAAAAGATGAAGTAAAATGTTGCTCACAAAATCCATTGAAATATTCACAATCATCAGATTTCAAAAGATCAATGTTAAAATTCCCCGTCAAATATATTATTTTCCCTGTTTTGTCAACTTCGGTTAGTATTGCATTTAGTTCATTTTCAAACATTTCAAAATTACCACTTGGCGGTCTGTAGATAGTACCAACAATTATATTTTTACCAGTTGTTGAAATAATTTCAATGAAAAGTGATTCAACTATTTCGTCTTTGTTTATATTTAGGTCAGTTCGTAGTTTGTAGTTTAAATTATTTGAAATAAAAATTCCTACTCCACCGCCCTTTTTATTAGCTCTGTTTGAGCAAACAAAATCAAAATTAGTAAGACGGAAATTTTCACTGTTTTGGTCATTTAGCCAAGTTTCAGTTAGGCTAATTATAGAAAAAGGTTGTTTCAAAGTACTTAGAAGATTCCTAAACGAGTCAAACTTATTAGCTATACTTCTTACATTAAGGTTTAGTATCGACAGATTTTTGTTATCAGTAATATTACTCATAGCAAAGTCGTTTGGTAGGTAATAATTGCATGTCAAATCATCAAGATTTTCCGGCATATAATTCTCAAAGTGTTGAGCGTTTGCAATGTTATTATTATTAATGTGAAAAGGATTAAACTTGAGTTGCGTTAATCTATCCATAAACTCATCACTTGGAACTCGACTGAAATCGCCAAAAATAAAATGGAATTCTAAATCATCAATTGAGTGAAAAGGAAGCGAACAGCTTAAGCACATGTTGCACATATCGATTTACGTTTGTTGACATGTGACAGGTGATTTTATGCATGCGGTGCGAGCATGAAACCATCCCCCGCATGTCAGACAATTAATGCTTTTTTGATCCATACTTATTTTAAGGAAACAAGAAGAACAATATTTCTTACCTAATTTTAGAGTAGCCATAGCGTCTATTTATATATGTTAAAATAGGAAAAGATGGTAATGTTAATTATGAGTTGACCATATTAACCCAACAAAACAGGAATATTTCTCAAGAAGTTTAGCAAGTCATTAAGATGGGGTGTTAACTGGATATTACATTAGTCCGGACATGCATAAGCTGCATTGTGCCACAACTTTATTGTTTTAAGGCGGTTTTCCAGTCCTCGCACGAAGCTCCTCGCAGCTCGCTGCGAGTGCTTACATCTAATTGAAATTAACTGTTTAGCATTGTGATTGGATGAAAGTGCTCATGCATGCACTCCAGCGAGCTGCGAGGAGCTTCGTGCGAGGAGCTTCGTGCGAGGACTGGAAAACCGCCTTTACCTTGTCTGATGGGTCGTTCCAGAAAAGATCCACTCTCCCCGGGGCACAGAGGAAATTTCTACCGTCCGGAAGGGAGTGGAGAAAAAATTGTTTCTGATACTAGTAAGTGCATTAGGACATTCAAATTTAGAAGGGGATAGGGGATTAACTTCCAATTTCCTTCATGGGGGAGGTATCGATGTTCTCTGGAATGGCCCAATGTCAGATGATTTTATTTGTCAGTGATATCACTCAATGGGTTACTGAAACAAGTAGCACTCCTCTCCAATATAACTAAGGTTAAATCATAATCTTATGAATCTATGAATGTTTTCTGGAATGATCCAATAGCATATTAAATCACAAATACCAACAACCAGTAGCAGATACCTGGCAAAATATTGGGGGTGCTGTTGAGATATCTGTTAACAAATCCTATCTAGTGCATATTTCTCTTGTTAACCCATTCACTGGCAATATGCTCTACTTTATATTACTCTGTCTAATGCCAGCAAATTTTACAGTTTTACTTGTTGAGAAGATAGCCTTGCAGCAGTTTCCAAATTGCCATGTTTCGCCCACACAGAGATACATTACTGGGGACGAGTCAGGGTAAAAGCCATATGAACCAAGGGTTATCAATTACGATAATACTAGAACCAACTTCAACCAAAGGTTGGGTTGTGCTACTACATTAGGCCTTCCCATTCGTAATAACGTGCAAAGTTTATAGGTTGGACGGGAGGGAATTGCTCATATATTGCTGCATGCGAACTGTGAACGTGTACTATATACTGTAATGTTAACTGACTGTGGAGTTCCAGTAGCGGTACATGAAGTACAGTATATAGAGCTAATGATAGTCTTGTATTTCCTTTCTTATAGCTCATGTGACTAAACGTTTTGCGGGAGCAACAGCTTCATCAGTGAAAGCTGCCATGGCCCAAAAGTGCAAAGACAAAAGACATGCTGATACGAAAAGAGGAAAAATTGCAGGAGACATTTGAAATGCTAAGTTTTTTCCTTATTATAAATTATTTTGTATGGTAGCTAAACATTTGTAGAAATTAACTGTATTAATCAATTATTTAAACTTCCTATATATACCATTACAGCATCTTACTGTTTGACAGGTTTAAATGTGCATGATTGAAGCTTTGCATAATTTCACTTGTGAAAATGAAGCATGTGATATTTCGCATGTGTATTTGGAACATGTGATATCTCACATGTGAATTAAGTTTCACATGTCAACACATGTGAAATTATGTGTTTCACATGTAAAGTTTCTGATGTGAATTTGGAACATGTGAATTTGGAACATGTGACTTTTCACGTTTGAACACTTGTGAAATTATGTGTTTCACATGTGAAACTTCACATGTGAAATTTCACATGTGAATTTGGAACATGTGAATTTGGACCATGTGACTGTTCACATGTGAACACATTTGAAATTATGTGTTTCACATGTGAAGTTTCACATGTGAAATTTCACATCTGAATTTGGAACATGTGAATTTGGAACATGTGATTTTTCACATGTGAACGCATGTGAAATTATGTGTTTCACATGTGAAGTTTCACATGTGAAATTTCACATGTGAATTTGGAACATGTGAATTTGGACCATGTGACTTTTCACATGTGAACACATTTGAAATTATGTGTTTCACATGTGAAGTTTCACATGTGAAATGCCACATGTGAAATTTCACATGTGAATTTGGAACATGTGAATTTGGAACATGTGATTTGGAACATGTGAACACATGTGAAATTATGTGTTTCACATGTGAAACTTCACATGTGAAATTTCACATGTGAAGATTCACATGTGAATTTGGAACATGTGAAACATAATTTCACATGTGAAAAATCACATGTTCCAAATTCACATGTGAAATTTCACGCATGTAAAATCATGTGGAATTTTTGTAAGGATATATATATATATATATATATATATATATATATATATATATATATATATATATATATATATACACATTTTAAGACCTGACCAGGAACGACTGCGAAAAATGCAGCACATGGTCGTCTGGTAGGAATTGAACCTACGGCCCTGCGATTCCGATGCAGCGCTCTAACCAACTGAGGTACAGAGGCCAGCTGTTGAGCTGTAACCGTAAGTTCATGTATATATAGGTGATCGGGTGTGTGGGTCGTGATAAGGTGGACTTCAATGATTTGGTTTCTTGCACCATATCTGCATATGAGAATTTTTTAAAGTTTCTTTGCAATTGTAAACCTTCAATTATATTCCAGTAACGTACTGTATAATCCATATAACCGTAAAGTTAAATAATGTACCACTGACAATCAAAGCACATTCTGTAAGCATATATAGTATCAATATATTGATTCCAAAAATAATTATTATCCAATTGACTCCATGTTGAGTTCTATGTGGTATCACTGTTTTTTAAAAACTCTGAAGACCTTTCAACATCTGGAAGACTGCAACCATCCCTGCATGGAGTTTAAAACAAATTATTAAAATTAACTTGATGAATGTATCCATGACTTGATGACTAGTGACCACTCGATAGTAACACATTTAAATAGCTAGACATATCAAGAAGTTCTTTATCAGTTTATCTACTTTATCAATTTCATGGAGTAGCTGTTTTTGAAACGCTTGCCTTCCCAATTATTGGAGTATTAATTACCAAACTAATATGTGGTTATTAATTTACGCCAATCGTACAGTACTGCTTTGAAATAATAGACATAAAATACTTCGTATACCGCATATATGGTAAAATGATCAATGGCTATTGTGTCCTAATTATTGCCTGGACTGGTTAGGATATTAAAACAATATCTAAACGTGCGAGAGTCAACCAAACATTTATATGAGCTGTCATGCATGAGAGCTTTCATACTCCGGAGCAGAATTCGCAAATAAGTTGTACCAGAAAAAAATAATTACGCTACCAGACTTGACAAATAGAAAGTCGTTTACCTTTTCTTCGAAATATTCATAAAACAGATGAAAATAGTCCACTGTACTTATATTCCAAAAGGAGCACTTTTAATAATCATAGTGCGGTTTTCGCCATGTTGTTTATAGTAAAATACTCACATTATACTACCTAAGAACATGGCCGCTGCTCGCTCGCGGGTGTTTGCAGGTATATGTCGGCCGACCGCCTAACAATCAAAGGAGTGTCCCTTCTGTTTCTATTCCTTATTCTGTGGCTATATCGACACTGCCGTGTTAGGGCGGGGTCATGATCATTTTCTGGACTTTCTTCCCGGATTCAGGTTTTGGCACATATGCCATGTTGACCGCCATGGTCATTTTACCCTAAAACAGTTGAGATATGATAGATTACCTGTGCTAAATTAAACGCATGCAAACATCTATACAGGTCCTAGATTAGGAGGAAAAATGAAAAATGCACAGTATAGATTAGATTAATCAAAAGGTATTTTTACGCTAAACAATCGGTTTTATCCGACCCAACAAACGGAGTGTGCCCAGTAAGAAGTGCTTCTCACAGCCATCTCACAAAGGAAATGTCCTTTGTTATATGCTTCAGCTAGTCGTATTCTATAGGTCGTCATAACTCGCGAGTTATCAGTTAGATGCGTTCGCCACTACGACTGGCCATTCTCTGTGTTAGTATGCATGCGCAATAATAAAAATGCTAATTAAATTTTAGAAACGTGCAAAGAACTTCCGTGTGGTGTAACAAATATTCGCTTGGAATTGAGAACGCAGAAACCTTATCAAAAGAAAGAGAAATTGAAATCCAAATTTCACTGGAAGCCTGCACTACGTAAGTATCATTAATGTGTTTGTTACATAGAATTGTTTTTCGCACAAGGACTATGGGGTCAACTTTTGGATTGTTTTATAACGATCAAATATAAAGAATGGCGGCATATTGCACCGCTCTCCTATTTTTCAAAACGTTAATTAAAGACGATGTATTAGAAATTAGCCAAACGTGGACACAGGTTGCCGTTGTGTGTTGCCATAGAAAACGATTATTTTAAATTAAAATGTTTAAGCTTTTTGAATATATTTGTACAAAATGGCAACGCACAACAATCAATTTACTATAAATATACACTCTGGGTATGTTATTTTTTTTGCATTTTGTGGGCTTTGAGATTATGTAAAATTTAATCAGAAACACTGCGCAAAATGTTTTGAACTACGTTCATGGGAAACTGAATCTCTTTTTGTTTTCACAAACTGTGTTAATTAAGATAATCTCAAACGGACTTGGGCAGTTTAGTTACAATGAAGATAACAAGAAAGCTAAGGTTGAGATGGAAACAACTGCCTGACAAATACAAGTTGAAATTTAAAGTTGCAAGCGAAGCCTCTTTGGCGATTTCTCAAAAAATTTGAATCAGCGTCAAATAGATATTGGATTAGCGTTAGATTAAGGGTTGGGGTTAGGGTTAGGGTTAGGGTTAAGTTAGGATTAGGGGCTATGGCTCAACATTTGTCGGGAAATTATTGTATTGATAAATTCGGACGTGTTTAACAATTATTTTCTCATATAGTAAATTCAAAGGTGGAGCTCATGCTGGAAATTTTGTACAGTAATTACAAACTCAAAGAATCAATGTCTAACAAAAACTTGATATCACGAGCTGTTTTGCGAAATTGACAGCAATTTCAATTCTGTTTATTTTTTTAAACAACCTGTAAATCAAATTTTTCAGGTAGTTGTATATCTCTCTTTCCGCAGCTTTTTTATGTGAACATAAAATTGTCTCATTCTTAACCAATCAGAATTGAGTGATTTTTATATGTTTATTAAAAATGGTAATTTAACATTTTATCCTGGAGCTGCTGCTTACATTTTCAAGATGTCCGAAAATTTGCAGGCCGTGCAAAGGCTACGGAACAGTTGGCAATATCAATTACACATTGCGATTTTCCAATTCGTGCGGAAAGTTTGACGCTCAGTGGCCCTTTCCTCAAACTGAAATCTATCGTTTCCTAATTTTGTTGTCTTGCACCATAAACCTGCCAAAACCTTACTTGAATATTCGGTATATATTATTCCAACAATGAATTTAAATTCTGCCAGTAATTGCATGATTATATCACAATATCAATTCTGTTTCGCAGTCTCCGAAACAAACAAGACGCAGCTGAAATATATTACTCAACAACTTTCTAGTCTGACTAGGAATGGTAATTGCTATCCGGGAAAATACCCGACGGCAAAAAGTCATACGGTAAGTGCGTACTGTTTACTTTCTTCATGAATAAAATCACTCTGAGGTTGTTAGGGTATTTCACGGAGAGTTATTTAGCACACCAATTTAACTGCAGTGATCCAGAAATCCGAAGTCGATATAGCACTCTTGAATTGAATGAGCCATTTCTCAAACCAGAATGTAGATAATAGACCCATTTCAGTTAAATTAACGTAAAAATGTCCTCGAACGTCACACAAAGTGCACGCAAGGAAAAATGTCACCTTATTACTTTATTACATGCAAATTTTGCCACAGTTGAGCAGGTGCAATCGGTCCAAACAAAAATATTTCGAAATGTGATATATCTTTCAACTATTTGACAGCTGTATGATTCCTGTCCCAGCGATAAGCAGAATCTGGGAACAGATTATTTTACCCGAGCCAACGGGGCAAAGCGCTGTTTTGCGCGCACTCCCGGACCGCTTGAGGGTACTAATTGCGCTCGAACATAGCCATGGAGGTGCAAAGTCATCCTCTTTTATGACGTGGACGATTTTCGATGTATCTTGCTGTAAACAGTTTATTTTTTGCTAATTTGAATTTTGCGGAAATTAAATTTATAAAGTTGAAAACTTTTTTTTCGATTTGAACTCAAAAATGCTTTGAAGTCGTTCTTAATTCAATAAGATGTTTTTGTTCAAGCTGGTATTTACACATATAATTGCATTATCACTATTCATTCGGTGCAATGAATCCAGTGCATTGTCATCAATGTACAGTATGACTATAATTATCTTATACCGATGACACATGTAGCTTAACGAAGATCTTGTAACAATTTGTGCCTGAAAAGCAAATATATTTTGCTGTATTTTGAAGCAAACTATTTGTCGACAAAGCAAATGTATGCTTTCTCCGATATCACTGTAAAGCCTCCAAACGTTATACCTTATTAGTTCGCATTAAATCGAAGTCTATTAATTTGAAATATCAAATAACATGAAACTATATTCTAGGTTTTGAAAATGAATTATTTCAATATTTTCCTATAACGTTCTTTGCATGTTACCATGGCAACAACTATTGTTTTATTCATGAGATGCTTCACGTGGAAGTCATCATATTTCATCAGCTTTGTTGGGAAATGTGAGGGAGTTTCTGCATGCAAGTAGTTCTAGTATACAACAGAGAAGTTCAGATTTTATTTCACTATCGCTCGCTACCGCTACCATTATATACAGGTCGTTTACAGATTAGATGCGTTTGATATATTCGATTATATAACCAATCAGATGCGTAGGAAGCCAGTGATAGGTAACGGTAGCGAAAGTGGAAGTCAAATCTGAGCCTCTATTTTATGTCAGAATCACCATAGTAGATTTTTAATAGACACACTAATAAGCCATTCATTTGCTTTATTTATCAATTAAAAACTATAAAAAATCAGTGGGCAGTGCATCCTCTAATCGTTCGCCGTCATGATATTGCATCACAGTTAGATAATTATTAGAAATACATGCTCATTCAGCAATCCCTCGCCCTATTTTTGGCACATCAGAAAATCTAAAATTTCATTACTGAAAACATTCTGCCTCGGAAGCATGTTTCTTTAGTAATACGAAAAGAAATAATATTAAATTTTATTATTTCCATGCTATAAATATCAAATATAGCGCAAAATAAAAATGACTGCAAGTGCTTTATATACTGCAGAATCACCCATTTTCAGAATCCATGCATAATATGACAAGTATTTTTATGTTAGTTGTGTCCAACATCCATGATCCATGTTCAATAATGATTGAAGAAGTCTGGATCCGCTGAGGTTTAAACAATTCTCAAATAAAGCTGCTGTCTAACGTCCAAAGCTAGTCCATGACTTAATGGAGGATGGCTTTGCGATGTTCTCATATATACCATGGTAAAACTGTGCATGACAAATTAAATACCTCGTGTTGAGTCTCCGTATTAACGAGGTCCCAGCAAGTTCGAATTTGGTACGTATTCCAATTAGTTATCCGTTTCGTATTAGTAAATACAGTAGTATTCCTGCAGGTTGTATATAAAAATCATCACACTTTTGAATGCGCATAATTGTGATTGGGTTTAGAATGTATTCGCTAAATTGGTTTTCAAGGAAAACTAAAGCTTTCTGTACTAAAAAGAAATTAAAGCGTTTTTCTCTTAGGCTATAGCATCTAACAGCTCTGATGAAAATCAAAAGTTAAACGTTTATTACGATTGTTGGTACGAATTAAAGGTATGTCATTTACCATAAATTACCATCACCGTCTTTCTCCACACGTTTGTACATCAGAATGTATTTTACGCCATCATTGAATATTGGCATCGCGTAAAAGAAGCACGATCACGTATACTTTGAAATACTCGATCACGTACTCTTTGAAAATAAGAAAATAAACATATAGCCCACCTACGAATCATGGTTTTACAATGAAAGGCGTTCTTTTATCAGTATTCTAGAATGATAATTTGAATTTTATAGGTGGCAGCAGAGGATGATTACATTTGGGCAACAAACGTTGCAGGAAAAAGAACCAGGATATTCTACGTACCAAGTAAGTTTAAACCTGACTTTCACTTGGCGTTAATACTGTATGTCGCCCACACCTGATCAAAACAATCGAATTTCTCCCAAGGAATGTATCATTTAAAGGTACGTATTTTGGGGATTTCGAAGAATAGGTTAAATTCTATTTTTTTGCGATTTGTTTTGGACAGATTTTTAGGGATTGCTAGGAATTATCGATGGATTTCATGGGGATTTTTGGAGATTTTTATTGCCAGGAATTTAAGGATTATTTTTTTATAATATTTTGCAGTGATCAGCATCGATCAACAGTATTTCGCTCACGAGTGAGCACAGCACACAAACTAAATAGAAATCATATTCAAACAAATTAACCCGAATGCAGTAATTTGTTGACGAAAATGAGTATAGGCCGAAATAACTTTCACTAAAAGCAAAGAATTCAGAACAGATTTCTTATCACTCTTTCAGTTTTCATCTTCTTGCTGGAATTCCAGTCAAATGGTTATCTTTCGTACTAAATTTTTGGTGTTTCTTGATAATAATACATTTGCTTTCTCGACGGCAAGAGGCGATAAAATCTCCCTTTTCAAACCGAGCGCCATGTTAATAACTGTACTTATAATGATGTGGGAAAACCCGTACGGCGTGACGAATACGATTTTTGTGTCAATTCAAATTTCATTCATGATATCATCTTGATAAAGAGCTTGAACTTTTGTAAACGTCGAAACAATCATAAGCATACGCGTTATGTAAAAGTTCTCTCTTTTGACACCATAATTTTCGCTAAATTCAATTTTTGTTCCGTGCTCAGAGTGATATTTTTACATTGAACTAAAAATAACTGGGACGATACCTCCAATAGGATTGGCTTATGATTGGATGAAGCCAAATTTTGCATCCAGCCGCGTGTGTTCTACCTCCAGAACGCGCGTTTGTGTTGCGAGACATTCTCGCGAGATCATTTCGGCGAAGTTCAAATTTTTTCGGGCGAATGGATCGAATATTGTCGTTTATTTAGGGTTTTAAGAGCGGTTGTCTGTAATATTCAGGTAAACCGTGTAAAATGAGGAAATTCAAAATCCTTCAAACTTTGTCAGAATATAGGCCTATATGAAGTATTAATGTTGTGAAAGTTTTATTTCGATCGGATAAATATTGAAGGAGAGAGACGTCGAAATTGGTTTTCCCAGGCCACTTTCGATTTTTAGAGGTCATTTTACGGCACTATCAAAATCGCTCTATTTTTCACGTTAATGGAAATATTTCACAAAACATGATTTCGTTTTATAAATTAGAGATATTTATTGATTAGCAGACGAAATTTAGAGACATTTCTGTAAAAAGTGAATATTGTACGGATTTTCTTAATGTTTTTTTTATTTTAGAACCTCTTTATTATATGCAGCGAATATCTCCATTGTTACATCGATTCAGACAAAAAATTCATAACCAGATCAAAGAAATATGTTTTCGCTTGCTATTGATCAAATAAAATTTTGGGGCAACTTAGAATTGAATTTTTTTCGTAACCCCCATTTGACCGGAATAACCGTATGTTAATATATAATCAGCGTGGAGTCATGTAGTTCAATAAATAACCAAAGAGCTCGTCAAGAGCGTTTATTTCTTCGAGTAAACAAGCCTAGGCCTATAAAACTACCTTAACTAAAGCTTTACGATTGGTTAGAACTTAGAAGCATTATGGTCTAAATCACACTGTTTACAGTCGCTTATTGTTCAGGTAATGCCGATAGGCCGGTGCCGCTGATTTGGAAGATTTGGTTTCAATTATATTTTATCAGGAATATGTCGCCATAAGTATAGCGAGTATATTTTCTCTCCACCTCGCATAAACTCGTGTTCTCGTGTAAATAGTGCACACGCTTTTTATAAAAAAAACATAGGCCATTTGCAAGGTCATACGATGCAAACGTCGCATAGTTTTGACGTTTTTTAGTCGTATTTCCGGTTGGGTTAGCTCACGCGATTGTTTGAACAAAAATATAGACTAGCCATACCTTTCGCCAAAAATAACTTCAGCCCCTTCAAAAATATCGTCTTTGTAACAGTCTTGTTCGAATCCCCATCAAAAACGCTATTTAGAGTGTTATTTGCAAGCCTGTATATTCAAATTTACATCTTTTATCACGGTATTTCCATTTCTTGTCAGCCTGTGAGCTCGAGGCTCGAAGTAATTTGATAGTATACGATCGCATTTGACTTTCAAACTCCCATAAATCGCTACAATATTAATAGTGACTATAACTACCGTTCGGAATTAGTTGATCTTTTATTTCTGAATCGAATGGTGGTATTTCTGTCTTCATAGCATGTACTGAACCGAAGATATGAAATTTCTAGCCGTCAACCTCTCGAGGACGACCTCCCAAAGAGTTTTAATTTAATCAATATTAAAGCTGGATTCTTTCACCGTGATGTCATGCCAAAAGGTGTCTTTTCTATTTTTAGAAAAGATCCCGGCTCTATTGATTTGTGATTTGGTAATATTAATTACAGTTGTATATTTGATTATTTTGTTAGTGCTCAATAAGTTTGAATTTGTTCTGAGAAAACAGTCAAACTTCAGACCAAACTTCTACGCAGTTGCTTATTTAGTAGTTTAAAAGACAACGTGTACGGGTGAGTTTAATATCCATGAAATATAAATAGTTGGTTTACAAAATGAATTCCGTCTTTGTGGATGAAAATTAGTTATAAATAATCTCTCCTGTATGTGTTAAATGCTACATGTAGGGATTTCCCCCGGTATATTCCTTCTCTTTTGCATGGCTGTTTGTGATTATTCGTCTCTTGTCACTGGGTCATGTGGTGCCAGCAACTCTAATCCAGCCGATTCCGAATGCGTTCTTCGAATGATTGTGATAAAAGAAATCAAGGCACACCTGAGGTCGCACGACGTTAGCTAGGATTCCAGTTTGAGAACAGAGTCTTGTCTTCCACCTGCACGAGCCGATTAGTTCATTATTTTCTACCTGACATATACTTTTGATCCAATTTCAATTAAATTTATCCAATCATTTCTGGATGATTTTTGAAGCCCCCCCCCCCCATTATCGCAAAATTAATTTATATAATTAGACTGAGTTCCTTATCAGTATTTTGAAATATCCCTGTTCTACAAATAGAGTTTTACTGCCTGGACGTGCCAAGCGATATCTGGTTGGGGGAGGGCGGATGGTGAACTTAAAAAATTCGGTCCCCTTCCTTTTCGCCCCCCCCCCCTCAAAATGTTTTCAGGTAAACAAAAAATTACTGAAAAATGTAAGGGGGGGGGCAAGTTTTTTTGAGAAAAACGTTCCAAAAATTATTTTTGCGATAATGGGGGGTTCAAATTACTTTTCAGAACTTTTTCGACCTCAATTTCAGAACACGTTGCGCAATTCCAGCATTCCGCCCCCCCCCCCCTGGGAAAGTTGAGCCCCCTTTCAAGTTGAATTTTTTGCCCTGAGAACTGCCTGGCTGTTCTAGAGGTATCATCCAGAAATGGTTGGATAAATGTAATTGAAATTAGACCAAAAGTATATGTCAGATGACGCGTAACCACAAACAGCCATACAAAAGAGAAGAAATATACCGGGGGAAATCCCTACATGTAGCTTAACACATGCAGGAGAGATTATTTATAACTCATTAATTTTATCCACCAAGACGGAATTCATTTTGTAAACCCACTATTTATTTCATGGATAACTCACACGTACACGTTGTCTTTATCTTCTTGCTGTTTTAAAAGTGATGGCCAGTTTTAAAACTACTAAATAAGTAACAGTACGTAGAAGATTGGTCCGAAGTTTGACCAAAGATATTGAGCAACAACAAAATAATCAAATATACAACTGTAATAAATATTACCAAATCATAAATCAACAGAGGGTCTTTCTTTTAAATAGAAAAGACACCTTTTGGCATGACATCACGGTGAAAGAATCCAGCTTTAATATTAATTAAATTAATTACTGTAAGTAAACGAATTACAATTTCAACGTAAACTGACCGATGTTTTTGACAAAAAGCGCGTGCACTATTTATGTTCGAAAAGTTATAAGCACGACGAGTCGTGAAAGAACACATGCTTATGGGAAAGGGAGAGAAAATATACTTGCTATACTTATCGCGGCATATCCCTGATAAAATATAATTAAAACCAATTCCGCCAAATCAGAGGCGCCGGCTATACAATATATTATAGGCATTACCTGAACAATAAGCGACTGTAAACAGTGTGATTTAGACCTAAATGCTTTCATCCAATCGTACTGCTTTAGCTAAGGTAGTTTTATAGGCCTAGGCTTGTTTACTTGAAGAAATAAACGCTTTTGACGAGCTCTTTTGGTTATTTATAGAACTACATGACTCGACGTTGATTACATAACATACGGTTATTCCGATCAAATAAGGGTTACGAAAAAAATCGTCAAAAATTCAATTCTAAGTTGCCCCAAAATTTTATTTGATCAATAGCAAGCAAATACATATTTCTTTGACCTGTGTATGAATTTTTTGTCTGAATCGATGTAACAAGGGAGATATTCACTGCCTAATATGGCATATAATAAAGAGGTTCAAAAATAAAATAAAATAAAAACATTAAGAAAATCTGTAAAATATTCAGTTTTAACAGAAATGTCTCAGAAATTTCGTCCGCTACTCAATAAATAACTCTAATTTATAAAACGAAATCATATTTTGTGAAATATTCCCACTGTCGTGCAAAATAGAGCGATTTTGGTAGTGACGTAAAATGATCTCTAAAAACCTAAAGTGGCCTGGGAACACCGATTTCGACGTCTCTCTCCTTAAATATTTATCCGATCGAAATAAAACTTTCACAACATTAATACTTCATATAGGCCTACATTCTGACAAAGTTTGAGAGATTTTGAATTTTTTCATTCTACACGTCTTACCTGACTATTACAGACAACCGCTCTTGAGCTATATTTTTGTATTGAAAGTGTATTTAAAACATATCTTGAACCCTACCGACTAAAATTGCAAGGA